TGCCTTAGACCAAATAAAACAAGAACTTAATAGTGACAAAACACAAGTAGGAATGATGAGTCATTTAGTATACATGCTAGCAATAGCTTAAATGATCTTTTTCAACACTAGGTATGAAGGATAAAAAAAAAAATTGTTACACTGAAGAGCAGAATTTAGCCATAAAGGAAGTTCTAGGCAGACAGTATGTGATGCTGTGTAACCTTATTGTTAAAGAGTTTTGGATGGTCACATTATTCACCAGAAAGGTCTGGTGAAATCACATGACCGTAAGAGCACGTTCCAATAAATTGTCATGTCCCTCAATATAGAATTACAACAGTTCTCTTATGTTGTGTTTTTCTTTTTGTTTAAACACGAGTACAATGAGCTACTTTTTGTTTTATCATCATTGTGCACAGCAATAGGAGTTTCACATATTCACTTCAGTTAGAAGGAATTAGGTAAGCCACTTTGTGGATAAACGGATTCTTCCCTGTTGCATATAAAGCTTGAGAGGAGGGAAGTGACACTCTGATGTTCTATTCAGTGCACACAGATTTCTCAGGGAGCAGAGCTTCAAAGGGGAATTGCCACATTTCCCCAGAAACCATCTATGGTGTAGTTGGGTTGCTTTAGAGTTCATCTTCCTTTAGAAAGCTGCATTGGGAGCTTCTCCATGGCAGCCTCAAAAGCATAACTTTTACTTAACAGGAAGCCAACAATCTTCAGTTTAAGCCCATAGTATTTACTTTAAAAGAATTTCAGTCCACACTTTTGTACCTGAGCCTAATTAACTTTGCCTCCTCTTTATCTCACCATTTCAAATTATAGGTGTGGCAATTTTCTTCAAATGGTGGTTAGGTCTCAACTATGCAGCTAACCAATCAGCTCATGGTTTTAGAGGGGAAAAAGTCCAAATCTGTATTATATGATCCTAGTGATATATTCTGTCTTTGGAAATTGTTTACTTCTTATTGTTAATGTTCCTGTAATGCTCAGAAGCCCAAATCCAGATTAGGGCATTACTGCGCTAGGTACAGTACAAAAACTGGTCCCTGGCCAAGGAGTTTACAACTTACTTCAAGGCAAAATGCATCAAGCAAGAAACAAGCAATAAGGTGGAATGGGGAGGAAGATGAAAGTCATTCATAAAATTAGACAGTTACATAGTCTAACAGCATGCACAACTTGAATATTCACACTAGATTAAAAATTTAGGAAAACTATAGAAATAGATGGAGGTGTAAAAGAACAGCAGAAACAGATAGAGGTTCAAATATATTTTAATCTCCAAGTTTCTGTTCATCATTGTCTATTATTTGTACTGTAGTGCCTCAGAGCCCCAGTCATGAACTAGGACCCCATTGTGCTAGGCACTGTACAAACACGGAGCAAAGAGATTCTCTGTCTCAAAAAGTTTACAATCTGCATCTATTTCTTCTTCTAGAGATCTATTTCTGTGCTACTTTTATCATTTACCTATTTCTGTTTTCTGTAAAGTTTGTAGTAAAAGCAGCTATGGAATGGGAAGTGGAGGAAGATGAGGGGAGAGTAATAGGGGAGGAGCAGTGCAAAGTAGAGCTAAGAAGCAGTAAATAGTAGGGCCCAGGAAGCATGGTGAAGGGGAAAAAAACGTATCAGTAAAATGTCAGAGACTCCACTAATGGAAACCAGAGGAGTCAAAGGTGCTGCTTTGAAGAAATATTGTCTGATGCCAGGAATCTTGCCTTGTCTTCATCCCTGGCTTTTAACACTGTTCTCCTGTGATTCAGCAAGAGCTGAAGGCTTGGCGATAGATTGTTTTTTAAGATTTAAGTAACTGCTAATCTCTGCTCACAACCTTGAAGATCACATTTTTGTATTTGTCCCAATATAAACAGCTTAAAGCCACATAAAAACAAAAAAACCCCCACCCATACTCTTACTACAGTTACAATAAAAATCTGGGTCTTTTCAGACATCTCTGAAAAAATCATGAACATTCACAAAGGTGGTTAAGGACACAGCAAACTAATAGCCTTCCTGTGTACAAGTAAACTGACCTGTATTTTCTGCAATGATATTGTTAAATGTTTAACATAAAAAAAAATCAATAACTAAATCTGACTTATCTGACATAACTACATTAGAAGTATGTTAAGGATACCATTCAAAAGTCAGGAAATGCCAGAATTAAAACTGCCTGTGAAATCAATTACAGGTTCTGATGGGGAGTGTGTTCTGGTGGTTATACACCTTTCTGTTCCTGTACCCCCAGCCAGTCTGTTCCCCTCTGCTCCTATCTACCCCAATGGCCCCTGTCCCCATCCCCTTCTGCAACTATCTACCTCTCCATCCCATTCTGCTCCTATTCATACGCCTCCCTCACTGCTCTGGTACCACTTTGCTTCCCCACATCCTGTGGCCTTGTTTCAGAGACCGGAAAAGGCACATCCCTAACACCAGAGGGTATGTCTACACTGCAATAAAACACGTCCCAGAGCCTGGGCTCCAGCCTGAATCCCAGTATCTACACTGGAATTTTATAGCCTCCAGCCCTAGCCCCGTGAGCCTCAGTCAGCTGACACAGGGCCAGCCACAGGTGTTTCATTGCACTGTAGACATACCAAGAGAAACCCCCTGCCAAATTTCAAGTCCCTGTGCCAAAGCATGGAAGCAAAAGAGCTTCAATGAAATGGTTGTAATTATTTTTTTAAACATAGGCAGCACTGTTTTAGCAGAAACTTTTAAAAAGTCAGCCTGAGGTAGATCGTTGGCATAGAAAATGTCACCTCCAATGGTTAAAATTTGGCAAGTTTTAAGCACCTGGGTCTTGTAGTTGGAAGTGTCATGCAACCTTCTCTTTAGGTCATGCTCTCAGATCCATCTATACAATATATTCCATCTTAAAAGATAAAGGTAACCGAATATCACTGTCCTCAATTCCTTTCTTGGCAAGTTCTGTGCTCAGGGTTTCAGCTTCCCTCTGCCTCACAAGGCCCCATCCTGCTCCCACTGAAATCTGGCCCCAGCTACAGTGAGAGCAGGATTGGGGCCTCCGTGACACTACTACCACTTAACAGAACACAGAAGGCTATTTCAGATGACTGATGGCATCTGCCACTGCAGAGCAATCACCTAAAACAGCCTTCCTGCTCTTGTTTAGATGGTGGTGTTGCCATGAAGTTTCAGAGAAGAAACTCTGAATCCAAGACTTGACAGATTAAGTAGACGAGGAAGGGAGTTTGAAAACAGATGTACTTTTGGTTCCTAAATTTGCTCATATATGTGCTATGTTTTCAATATTAAAGCTTTGCAGTTTGCTTTCCCTTGCTATCATGCCTTCCCCGTTTTAATAGTAAGAAGCCTGCACATACTGAATCTATTTACAATATAATTTAGGACTGTGTCACATGTGCTATTCAAATCATAATTTTGTCACTAGCTGAGCAGGACGTTTCTGCAGCACTCGCTATCTTCTTTTTGTGTTTCATGCATCCACATTTCAAAACAAGCAGCAAGCCAGACCCTGACAAGTGGTCTCTTTGCAGCCTAGAAAGAACTGAAGGGTAGGAAGTGTGGTTTTAACGGTTTAATGTTTCTTATTTGTCTTTGGGGCTAAAACTATGACCTTATTTAGTAAAAAGCTCACAGCATGCTTCTTATAAGTGGATCCTCTCGCTCTCTGTTTGCTAGACCAAGTTCTGTCTTCAGTTACACCAATACATTCTGACTGAAGGCAATGTGGTTGTACATGTCCACCCACTTCCTGTAACCCTGCTCCCCTCTACAAAGCACTAACGTCTCTTTTCTCACCCCTAGATTGAGAGAAGATAGTAACCTCTTCCTGGACATACAACCTTAGCCTCAAATTAAAGTTAGTCACATTTGTATGTACAGTAACTCCCCACTTAACGACCTCTTGCTTAACGTTGTTTCGATGTTATGTCCTTGTTCCATTACAGAACATGCTCGTTTAAAGTTGTGCAATGCTCCCCTATAACGTTGTTTGGCTGCCTGCTTTGTCCACAGCTGGCAGCCCCCCTATCAGCTCCCCTACGTGCCCACCCCAGCACCTCCCGCCCGCCAGCAAACCCCATGGGTCAGCGCCTTCCCTCTGCTCCCCCCGCAATCATCTGTCTTGGGGCATTCAGGAGGCTGGGGGAGGAGCAAGGATGCAGCGCGCAGCCTCCCCCCTCTGTCCCCTGCCTCCTGCCCGCGGCAATCAGCTGGTCTGCAGCATTCAGGAGGCGGGGGGAGGACACGTGCCGTGTCCTCGCTCCTTCCCCCAGCCTCCTGAAAGCAGCAAGGCAGCTGATTGACGCGGGCAGGGGGAGCAGGTGGAAGGCGTTGATTCGTGGGGTCCGCCAGCGGGTGGGAAGCACCAGGGGGAGGGCAGGGGGGAGGAGACCTGATGGGGGGGCTGCCAGCCTGTTTAATACCTGTATTAAATTGCTTGTTTAAAATTGTTTAAAATGTATATAATGCCTTTTGTCTGACAAAAAAAATTTCCCTGGAACCAAACCCCTCTATTTACATTAATTCTTACGGGGAAATTGGATTTGCTTAACATCGTTTCGCTTAATGTCGCATTTTTCAGGAACATATCTACAACATTAAGTGAGGAGTTACTGTAAATTAAGGGCAGAATTTGGTCTGCAGAGTACAGCATGTAGGATGACGTACTTCTCTCAGAAAGGTTCAAATACCCCTTAAGTACATCACACAACTGGGGTTGCCCAAGCTGAGAAAGGCCAAGTCTGATTTTTTGGGGGAGGGTGGGGGACACGCGGAGGAAGAGGAAAAAAGAAGAGCATATTCTGATAAGAGGTTGGTATATCAGATCCCTCATAGCAAACACTAAAAACATCTCAGCTTCTACCTTTGATAGATGTCATTGGCTTCAACCTGTCAACTATAAGTAAGAAGATACAATGAAGCATGGGTGTGCCTTATCAGTAATAATCTGCATTCCAATCTTTTTAGAACAAGTTTTTCCTCTCCTTGCTGAAGACAGGCACTACCGCTTTGTTTTTCACAGCTTTACTGACCCCTGGGGCCTGAACACGTTAAACATGAGAATGGTGGCTAAATTTTGAGCTGTAGAATTAGCTATAAGAATTTACTCTTATTTAATTTCTTAGAATATAATTCCACATAAAAATTGAAAATAAAACCTCTAGCTGTGACTAGTGACTGAGTAAGAAGTAGTTAATTGTTGGACAATTCAAAAAAAAGAGTTAAAAGCCTATTGGGAAAAAGAAAGTAATTTTAGCTATGCCTATGAAAGACTAGTTTTATATTACCAGCAAACTAAAGAACTGAAACAACAAAACATGAAGATCAGCATCTTCAAGCAAAAGATGATATTTAAAGCAATGACCTCCGGATGGATAGAAAGAAAAGCACATTATGCATCAATGAGACGACAAAATAAGATGCCACTCCTATTAAAGGGACCCGTTGCAAATCATTTTAAAAAATCCTGTCAATTAGTAATGTTTAGAAATTAAATTAAAGGGGTTTCAAAAATCTATGTTTATTTTCAACATTTGCTTCCATTTCACAGTTCACTCAGCTTGGACAGCAAGTACTCTGGTGAGCTTCATTTTGTTTTCATGCACTAGTACAAAGCTGCAGAGAAGTGTTTAAAGCCAAAATATAAATCTTTTTCAAGCCTGAATACACTTTTATTAAAATCAGTTCTCATACAATTGTTTTATTTTAAATTCAACCTAGATTTGGGACCTCGATCACCTATCAATGCATGTTTATATTTCATGGAGAGGAATTACAAGTTTATGATAAATATATTGCAAATATTTTCAAGGGAGAAGGCCCTCTGCATTCAATTTTAAAATTCTGTGCCACTATTTTCTTGACTGTAATATAATCACCACAGAACCAAAAGAAATTGTCATAGTGACAGCACTAGTTGTCACTGCTGGAGAGTTGTGATCTAATTTTGTTTCCAATGAAGGTAGATAATAAAACCAGCATGAGGCCCTTGGTGATTCAAGTCAAGTATGAGTATGGAGAAAACCATATTGTATACTCATCTACATCATATTTGGCAATGAGATATCAACGTGATAGGTGCCTAATGATTATATCTGGTTTCCATATAAACACAACATAGGGTTGGTCAGGATTTTGGGTTGGCAAGTATTACAGTAATTTAAAAATGAGTAAGTCCATTTTAGAAAGCTATGCTAGACAGAGCTATCAATACTAAACAAGGGCATGAGCCTGCAAACTTTAACCCAAACAAGTCAGTTCATGACAGAAGTCCCACTGGCTTTAAGGTGATTGCTGACATGAATAAGGACCCAAGCCTGTAAGGGCGAGCCCATTTTGCAATTTTCATAGACTCAGAACTGGAAGGGATCTCAAGACGTCATCTAGTCCAGTCTCCTGCACTCATGGCAGGACTAAGTATCCCTGACAGGTGTTTGTCTAACCTACTCTTAAAAATCTCCAATGATGGAGATTCCACAACCCCCCTAGGCAATTTCTTCCAGTGCTTAACCAGCCTGAGAGTTAGGAAGTTTTTCCTAATGTCCAACCTAAACCTCCCTTGCTGCAATTTAAGCCCATTGCTTCTTGTCCTATCCTCAGAGGTTAAGGAGAACATTTTTTCTCTCTCCTCCTTGTATCAACCTTTATTATACTTGAAAACTGTTATGTTCCCTCTCAGTCTGCTCTTCTCCCGACTAAACAAACCCAGTTTTTTTCAAATCTTCTCTCATAGGTTATGTTTTCTAGACCTGTAATACTTTTTGTTGCTGTTCTCTGGACTTTCTCCAATTTGTCCACATCTTTCCTGAAATGTTGCCCCCAGAATGTGACTCAATACTCCAATTGAGGCCTAATCAGCACGGAGTAGAGCAGAAGAATTACTTCTCATGTCTTGCTTGCAACACTTCTGCTAATATAGCCCAGAATGTTTGCTTTTTTTTTTTGGAACATTGATGCACTGTTGACTCATATTTAGCTTGTGATCCACTATGACCCCCAGATCACTTTCTGCAGTGCTCCTTCCTAGGCTGTCACTTCCCATTTTGTATGTGTGCAACTGATTGTTCCTTCCTAAGTGGAGTACTTAGCAGTTGTCCTTATTGAATTTCATCTTATTTACTTCAGACCATTTCTCCAGACCATTTTGAACGTTAATCCTATCCTCCAAAGCACTTGCAACCCCTCCCAGAGTGGTATTATCTGCAAACTTTAGAAGTGCACTCTCTATCCCTTATCTAAATGATTGATGAAGATATTGAATAGAACCGGACCCAGAACTGATCCCTGCGGGACCCCACTTGTTATGTCCCTCCAGCTTGACTGTGAACCACTGATAACTACTCTCTGGGAACGGTTTTCCAACCAGTTATTCAACCACCTTATAGTAGCTCCATCTAGCTTGTATTTCCATAGTTTGTTTATGAGAAGATCATGCAAGACAGTATCAAAAGCCTTACTAAAGCCAAGATATACCACATCTATCACTTCTCCCCATCCATAAGGCTTGTTACGCTGTCATTTTAATGCCATAGTTCCTACCTTCTTTTGGCAAAATCGCTACCACCGGAGAATGGTCAACCATTGTATACAGCTCTCTAGCCACGTACTGATCAAGCTCTATGAGCCTTTCTGAAGAAGACTGTGACATTCCATGGTCACTTGTGATTATGATATTCAGTGTGTCCCACAACTTTGCTTTCTTCAGTTCTGACACAAGATATCCCAGCTTGTCATCAATCTCACTAATGACTGCGCCCATAAGTGGATTTTCTGGGCCCAAAACATGCCCCATCGCATCAGGCTGCTCCCAGTACAGAAGACCAAAATTTATGGATTCTTCTGAGGTAAACCAATCAATAAGTTTGTCAACTCGATCTTCGAATGAAACAGACTCATTATAAAACATATAGTGTGTAGGAAAGACTCCATGTATTTTTACATCTGTTCCAGGCCACATAGCAGCTCCGGTTCTATGTCCTTCCATTTGGTTGGTGACCCATATCGGACAGGCCTCTTCCCAGAACTTTGAATTATAGATGTTCATGCTGTTCAGGGAGAAAGTTTTGTTCAGGACAGGATCATACATTTCATTAGCAACTATGCCATGGCTCTCTGCATAGAGACCTGTCACCATTGTATAATGATTAGGATACGTTTTTGTAATAAACACATTAGTAACCTGTTTAACATGAGCACCATTCTTCATGATATAATGAAAGTTAGGCGTTGGGAATTTATAAATGTAATCCCATCGAAATCCATCAAAAGATAATAGTAACACTCTGGACTGGTCCTGCTGGAAACAAAGTGTGCTTGGAAAAGTCATCATACAGACTGCCAAGACTCCCCAGTAGCAATTCAAAGCCATCCTGGAAAAGCTTTTTCACTCAGGCACAAAGTTGGTATCTCTAGAATACAAAGGCAAAATTCAGTTACCATTTCTGCAACTTAATTATCTTGAACACTTATCTTTACTACAGTATAAGTGAATCTGAAACAAGTTTGTGACTAATCCCTGTCTACAGGAACTCAAGTGGCTCCCATCACTGTGGAACACCTCACAAACATTAGTGGATTTTCCCTCAACAGCCCTGCTAGGTAAGGGAATAGTATTATCCCCATTTTACAGATGAGGAACTGAGGCACAGAAAAATTTAATGATTTACCCAATGTTACACAAGAGTCTGTTGTACAGCCAGTGCTTTGAACAAAAAAAATTCTTCCTCTTCCACCCTGACAAATTTGCCAACATTTGAGACTAAAAAGACTTCCGCTCTCCTTTCATAATGGAATGCTTTCTCTTCTCTATTCAGACTGTTATCATCAAACTAAAGTGATGGAAAAGGGGTGTGTGAAGGAACTACTGAGGCTCCAGAAAGGGTGGAGCCTGTAGGGAGGTTGGTCAAGGTGACAGATGCAGAGTGGATCTCAAGAAAGGGAGAGCTGGAATTATGACAGGGCAGTCACGGGAAACCACTGGGAGTCGGAGGTCAGACAGATGGTTTGGCTGGACTTGCCTGGAGAGGTGGGCTAACTTAAGAAGGGTTAGTAGAGCTCTGAGGAGGTTAGCCTAAAAAAGCTCAGCTTGGTGTCCCTAGCCCCAGAAGCTTCCCACATAAGGTAGACTGTGGTGGGCTTTGGAGGTGAGAAATTCCTCAGAGAAAGTGAGTAACTCCCAAAGCCATCTCAGTAGCTTAGCAGCAAGAGTTGATGTGGGGAGGTGACTGTGTGTGTGTGTGTATATTATATATATATATATATATATACACATACATACACACACACACACACACACACACACACATTCTCTCTCTCAAGATAGATTTACATGAGGTAAAAAAAAAAAAAAAAAAAGAAAAAAAAGAGAGGTTTCTGTGTATAAAACTATTTCTTTAAAGCTTCCAGTTCCTTCTTAGGTTGTATTTGTTCTTCAAGTAATAAATAAGATACTCTATTTTCACTAACTCTAAAACTAAGCCTGATACGTGCAACCTAATTATTTAGACATCATCTTCTTGAAGTGATGCTACACAGTAATTATCATGTGCTAAGAGCAGCTCTGGGTTTCAAGTTCCTGGGGGGAAAAGACTAAAACCTTTTAACTCTAAAGTCTAAAAGAGACAAGGAGGTAATACCAGATTGTGGCAGCAAAGGTACCAAATAACGAGTCACCAAGTATATGTCAGCTGTTCAGCAGAGGGGAAACAAGTCATCACAGGGGAGCTACTGTTAAAATTTCACTAACACTCCCTAAGTGTATTTTGATACTGGAATATCATATGTTCAGAGCATTTATAATAGGAAAAGCGGTAAATTAAATGTAAAGCAAATTTTAGATTAATGACATACTAAGTTATTATAATTTCCTGTTCCAGCTATGGCACATTTTAAAAAAAATCCAGGTATCATAGAAATGTAGGACTGGAAGGGACCTCAATAGGTCATCTAATCCACTCCACTGAAGCAGGACTAAGTATTATCTAAACTATCCCTGGCAGGTGTTTGTCTAATCTGGTTTTAAAAACCTCCAATGATGGAGATTCCACAACCTCCCTAGGTAATTTGTTCCAATGCTTTACTACCATTACAGTTAGGAAGTTTTTCCTAGTGTCTAACCTAAACCTTCCTTGCTGTAATTTAAGCCAGTTACTTCTTGTCCCGTCCTCAGTGAATCAGAACAATTTATCACCCTCCTCTTTATAATAACCTTTTATGTACCTGAAGACTGTTCTCATGTCCCCCCTCAGTGTTCTCTTCTCCAGCCTAAACAAACCCATTTTTTTCAATCCTTCCTTGTACGTCATGTTTTCTAGACCTTAATCATTTTTGCTGCTCTCCTCTGGACTTTCTCCAGTTTGTCCATATCTTTCCCAAAATGTCATGCTCAGAACTGGAAACATTACTCCAGTTGAGAACTGAACAGTGCTGAGTAGAGTGGAAGAATTACTTCTCATGTCGTGCTACTTCGATCATAAAGGCAGTATCAATTTTAAGCTACTATCAACCTGGCTCATATTGAAACTACAGATTTAATGGTGAAATACTCCATACAACTCTCAGCCATCTAATTTCCCCTAACATATAAAGATTTTAAATCTGCTACCAAAAGTCTCTTGATTCATAAAGGAAAAAGGCAGAAAAGGAGAAAGATTAACTGGCATCTCAGATGATTCACAACTGCACTTCCTAATCAGACTAGTGCTAAGCATAAAAATTCTTTTGTCCTTTTAAATCAACAGTCACTGACTTCTGAATATACTTAGTACAGAAAGCATGAAATGAGAAATTCTTTGCTAAAATGAGAATATTCTCATATCTAATCTGACCATTGCAAACTAAAATCAGTGATTGTTATGGGTTGCATGCAGAAAATGTTTTCTTCCTGGATAGCCATGAAAATAATTAGCTCTGTGTCTGATCAGCTGATTCATCAAGAAATCAGCTGCCCTGCAGAAACCCTGAAAAGAGTTATCTATATATAGCAGCAGGTGCAGCGCTCATACAAAATGAAGTCATCCTCTCTTGTGATGCTACTTATTCACTGAAGGCTTCCCATACACTTCTAATCAAGACTCATTAATTATTCCAATTCAAGGCAGGCATATATCCCCTGTAAAGCCTTGAAAACAGGTTTACATGCAACAGCTCATTTCTCAAAAGCCCATTAAAAATGCCTGTTTGTCCTGCCAAGATGATTATTCCTCTATTTGTTACAGGATTACTGTGTATGGTTGTTTCCTTGTTCTATTGTTATTTTAACCAGTTCTAGTCGACTGACAGGTCCATTCCCACATATCAGCAATAGTGAGGCACATAATACAGATTTGCCTTTCACTCTTTATCCAATACATTCATTATTTTAATGACTCTTTTGAAATCAACAATATACAGCCTTCCACTGAAATCAGTACTAGTTTTACAGTGACTATCAAGTAGACCACATCCACAAGGTTTATGAGTGGGACCCATTGGGGATCTGGTACACTGAAGAGGTTCCTCCAAGGAACTGTTTAAAAACTGGGGTGCAGCACAGATGCTGGATCTATGAAAATGATATAATCATCTCTTCTTGCCTTAAGAATCTATGAAACACATTCATCAAAGTTTGAGATAAAAAGGATGACATACTGGAGGAGATCAATAGGGATCAAGACATTACATGGATCTTCCACCCAGCAGCCCTTTCTCAGTCACCACTGACAGCGTTTACTCCTGTCATTTCAAGCTGATCAGGGCTGTTGCGTAGGTCTTGTTTCCCTAAGATGACAGCGGGAAGTTTGGTTTTAACCTGCCACATGCACCTTGCCTTGATGACATTACTGAGAGGAGCCCTGGGTATTCAGATACACTAGGGTGATGGGTTTAGATACCACAGACAATAATGTAGACTGCAATCCAAGCAAAGTGTCTCAAAAGCTCAGACCAGTGTAGAAATGCAGAGGGGATCAGCATGGAGCATTTGGATCAAGCAGGACAGAGGGAGATGTGTTCGTGTGTGTATTGGGGGGGGGGGGAGGGGGGTGGAGTATTTTCTGCTTCCCACTGACCTGCACATCTAAAATTAGTCAGAGAAATCATTAGTGCTGGAAAACAGCTGAGCAAACCCCACCCAGCCTCATCCTCCAGGTGGCCTCCCCCCGCCCCCAGTTAGGGATCAGGAGCCAGGCACCCAGGCAACCTGCTCTCAATCAAGAGAAGCGAGTCTCAGAGGTAGCCATCCCATCCTCCATGTCCTTGTCTGGACACACCCGATATATGGGTTTAGAAGGGGGAGCTGACACCCCCCCCCATATGTCGGTATCCCCAGGGGAACCGGCACCGCCCCCCGCCATAGATCGGTATCTCCGGGGCCCAGAGTGCGGAGCCGACCCCGCGATATATCGGTATCCCCGGGGGGCGAGCGGGGGCCCCGGCCCGGCCCGCCAAGGGGCAGAGGGTGTGCGTACCTCAGCGCCTCAGTCCCACGCTCCCGGCGGCAGGCTCACGCGCTCCACCACCCCGAGTCTGGGTTCTGCCCTCAGCCACCACTCACCTCCCGGGCCCCGCCCCTCCGCAGATAAGCCCCGCCTCCATCCCGCCTATTGTTTGGGCACTTCCTGTGCCCCGCTCCCAGCCCCCAATGGCCAGCGACGCTGTCAGTCACGTGTTGGGGCAGGGTGGTCACGGGCGGGGCGGAAAGGGACGCGTGCGCAGTTGGGAGAGCAGGTGACGGGCCCGGGCTGGGTGTTGCCATGGTGACCCAGGTAGCTGGGCTCCTCAGGCTCGGGCCCGCCCTCACCGGCTGAGCCCTTCCTGCCCCTGCTCCTAGCCCAGGCCGGTGAGCCTGGCCCGGGGCTAGCCAGGGGCTGGAGGCCAGGCGGGACTTTGTTAAACCCTGGGCGCTGCTCTGGCCATGCGGCTGAGTCGTTTCCCGCCGAACCCGGAGGCGAATTACAGTTTTGTGGGGTCCTGGGCCAGAGCCAGTGGGGGCCCCTCCCCCCTTTCCGCCTGCAGTCCCCCGTGTCCCCCTCTCCCCGCGCTCCTGCCGGGGAAATGGGGTCAGGGCGCTGGGGCTCCCCCTGCTCCGCCCCCCCGCCCGGTGCTCCTGCTGGAGAAATGGGGGAGGGGCTTCCCCCACTTCATCCACCCGACGCTCCTGCTGGGGAGTGGGGTTGAGGTGCGGGCGTTTCCCCCACTCCCCAGCAGGAGCGCCAGGCGGAGCAGGTCAGGGCGCCCAATTGGCCAGGACCCCTGGGCACAGGCCCTGTGGGCCCATTGGCTAATTCGCCATTGGCCTAACCAGCTCCTCTAAGCCATGCCCAGAGCCTCCCCTCCAGCAGCCTGGGCCTGCTGACTCCGCTGCCCCAGGGCAGGGCCACACACCTAACTCCTTTTAACAGACAGCTTGATAAAGGTATGGCGGGGTTGCCTGCGCTAGCAGGAGCTTGGACTCAGTTCCCTGGGGGTGCCATACAGTGTTATGTCTGACAGGGCAGTTTCCGGTTGGGATCCTGGATAAACCTGATTAAATTAAATTTAATACCTTTGGGGTCCATTGTAGTGAAAATACAATTGTTTATCTGTTATTGTAGGGCTGTAGGTAACATTTCCAGGAGACTCACTAATGTAAACCTTGGGGCAATGGTAGGAACATCAAAGAACTCTTTAGCACCATAGGTATGAAGTGGTCTCCTTTTCTTTCTCTCTCTGCTCACACAGCAGTGCTGTGGACTTCCTTGCTGCAGAAATTGCAGCTTGTCCTTACTCTCTGCCAAATTAGCAAGATCTCTCAAGTGGTAGACTCCATTTGATTTGCTGAGTCTAAACAGATTTTTTTTCCCAATAGCAGATAGGGATGATGCAGAATCACATCCAGTTAAGGCATATACAGCAGGTAGTATCTTGCAGATGTCAGAATTGAGTGTGTCACAAATTGCATGCACAGGTACGATAGGTGCTATGATTGTTCCTCCCTTACCAGACTTAAATATGGTCGTCTTGGCCATAGCAGGGGTGCCAGATTTCTTGACTGGCCTGAAGAAGCTACATGTCCCATAAGAATCAAGTGCACCTCTCACAAATCTCTCCATTTGTTCTTCACCAACATCGAATATTTTCAGCAGAGACTCTTGTACATCTGATGTTACACACAGTCCAGTAGATATGTTGATAAGCACCTCTGGATGTGATTCAGGGTCAAATGGGTTTATCATATTGTTGATGACATGGTTGGCAAAGACTTGTTTGTGGAATGTGTCTTCACTACTTCTTGTTAGGTGACTTCTTTCTCATAGCTTTTGATCTTCACTCAGCATATGTCTTGGGGGGGTCCATATAACAAGGGCTGGATTCTTTTTTGACTGTTCCTACAGTCCCACTTCTGCCCTTTGAGTCTTTGAAGACAGTTTTCTCTGTTCCCGCATCACTCCAAATGCCATTGAAAGAACTAGGTGTCTGACATACATCATGTACTTCCTCAGGGAGATTTAACATGCCAAGAATGTAGACCGATATCCATATGGCATAGTCGGACCTGCCTGCAGTATGGAACACTGTTTGTGTAAGGCATTAAGAAGTTGAAATGAACTTAAACAGTAAAAACTTCTAGTCATAGTCATGTTGCAGTGTTTCTGGAACTGTGCTAAAAATGATGTTCTCATTTTGGGTACCATATTTTCACCTCACCTACAGGCTTACGGCACCATTGGACAGCTCCACATCAGACCTCATCCGAACATATATAAAATAAGCGTTCAAATGATATAAGATGCGGGTGTGTGTAGGGTAGGCACATTGAACTCCAAAAATATGGCAACTTTTCAGAGAATTGTCACAATACCTGTACAGGCAGGGAACTGTTCACCCTGAAGATACCCTAGTCAGACGGGAAAGACCAGAGGATGGGTCTCCACCCAAGAGAAGTGATGGCCAAAGGAGTCGGAAACCTGAGGGTGAGTGCCCTTGCTGGACCACTGAAGGGAACTACTACATGTGCTGTTGTCCTGAACTGTGCCATATGTTCTTGTGAAGGCAGCAGAGGCAGGACTAGGATATTCTCAGTTAAGAGGTCTAGACTTCCAGAGGAGCACTGTTGAATGTATTGTGACCTCCTGTAGAAAATGCTGCCAAATAAAGCTGCCAATGGCATTTAAAACAGGAACTTGTCCCCCTTTCCTCCACACACTTTTGCTCCTGCCCTTCCCTCTTCCCCCAAACCCAAGCAGAGCTGTCTATAATTTGGCATGGGACGAGAACCAGAGGATCCATGGACTCCACTAGGGACTTTGCTTTTGTCAGTCTATTTTATGTGGAAGGTGCTCAGGTCCAGACCTCAAAGATATATAGGCACCTGTTTCCCATAGAAATCCCTTTGAGGATCTGGGCTGCAGATATTGCTGTGATGGGTAGCAGGACAAACCCTAAAATGGACAAAATTATTATATAAATTGAGTAGAAACTTTTTCATTTGGATGAAATCTGACAATTACAGATTCCTATAAAGTCCAGAATTTCACGGGGGAGGGAGAGTTTCCCTGAAGAGCTCACAGCCTTTTACACAAACATGAATCCCTTTGAGGAAGCAAAGTGTCATTGTTCCCAGTTTATAGATAGCTGTTCTGCCTTGATTTCCCTATAAGTGACTGCCCCCTCTGTGGTATGCCAGCTACTAGTAAACCAGGGTTTTTCTAGTCACATCATAATACAAAGGTTGATTGGCTGGTGGAGCACGTCCCCTCCCATTTACAATCAGCACTGTATTTCATGCAGGGGTAATTTATTCTGATATTAGGGCACAGGGTTAAGGTATGACAAGTGTAACCTTAACTCTTGGTTTCCCTTTTTCCTATTGATTGTGAGTTTTTGCGTAGTTTGAGAAGCATCACCTTAATGCCACATTTCTCTGTTTTCCAACTTTTGTTTTTTTAACTGTACATTTCTGTGAGATAGAAAGCAGGGGGGCCAGTGTGGTGTGCCAGCAATCTTAATTCGTTCTTCAGTTATGTTTTCGTTTGGCGTGGGAGGGGATTTCTATATCGTATGTATTTAGGCATACGTTTCATTACTGCACGAAGGGCTGGGTTGTTATATACCTCCAAGTCATCAAAGACCTCTAACAGTACAGGTGGTCTTCAGATTTCAAGGGCTTAGTAACTCTATTGATGACCACAGATGCTCAGTGCCATACAGATGCAGTATAAAACCCCAGGCAGAACAGAAGGGAATGGAGTTGTTCTTGGTTTAAACCTGTGTAAGATCAACATTCATCAATTTTAGACAGGCAAGCCTATTTTTTTTTCTTCCCCCCCCCCCCCCCGCTCTTTTAATGAACAAAAATGGGGCCTGATCCAAAGCTTGTTGAAGTTAATGGGAGTTATTCCATCCAGTTTAGTGCGCTTTGTGTCAGGCCCATTAACCGTAAAAATCAGAAGCAAAACTCACTTCCCATTTATGAGTTTCTGTGTGCGGTGATTTCAAACTAACAGAGCAGTGGATTTTGTTCCACACATCTTAGTTTTTTGTTCATCAGTACTCCAAGGCTAGCAAGGAAATGCAAGTGATTACTGAGTTTTTTTCAGTCGTTTTGGGGGCAGAAAACTATTTTTTCATGTTAATATGTGCAAAGCCCTTGGCATCGCCATTTGAAAATGGTCAGTGGCAAAAATTGCAGATGATAAGCTATTGCACATTGAGCCAAACCCTGGACCATGAGCAAAGCTTAAGTAAAAGTTGTGCTCTGGAAAACAGTGTGTGTTGGAAGGGGTGATCTGACTTCAGGCCAGGGCCAGCGGCAGTGGAAACTGAACTGTAGCTGGGAGAACCTAGAGGTCTCTTCTTCATCCAAGCATGAGATTATGAGAGTCTGTACTATGCACAGACCGAATGAACATGCCCTTTATATGCCCACAGCATAACCAAATTTACACACTTCAGTGGTGAGTCAGAGATGCATCACTAAACTCTCCTTAGCGCACAGGGTTGCATCATGTCTTGTCCTTTTGCACAGCAAGCGCATTCCCTGTGACCCTTCCATTGGCACACAAACATATATCTGCCCTTAAAATATAAAAAACGGCAGAATAAGGAACAAAACCAAACTATTATGGGGCTGGGGTTTTGCCCACTACAATGAAAACAAGCTGTTCCTGTCTGGCCCATGCTCATGGAGTTTAATTATTTATAATAAGGTATTAGTTGTATATTTCACACTTACACTTCTGCCTAGTTACTAGTAATTTGCAATGGCAGGAGGAGAGGGTTGTACATAATCCATTCAAGGCCAGTTTTTGTCCCCTTGCATGGGGGGATGCCTTACTCTGTGAGGTGTATTTCAATGGTCTACTCATGCAGTAAGGCACCACTCAGCTGAGGGACAGTGGGAGAATATGGTCCTCTGCCACTTTACCTATGTTTCTGTAAAGATGGAGGACTGGTGTTCTGTTGATATCTGAACACATTCAGTGCTGGGGATTATAATATAAGACATGGATGTTGTTTCAATCATTCATTTTTGTAGAGTCTGTGCCTTATTTGATATGCTGCA